GTGAAAAAAAGTTTTATTCCTAACAAGGAAAAGGACTACAAAGGATGAAGGATAAACAAATAAAACGTACAATGATGGTCAGTACTTGAAGACTGCCAATGCATTCGACTACAACAAGCATCGTTAGAGGTTATTAATTGCACATCTAGCATGAACATGACTTGTGGTGGTCTGTCTATATATAGAGTCCGTGTATTATCCTCCCGGATGAGTCTGGCACCAGTTTGTCTACTGCAAAAGAACGAAAGGCTTGGTGAGTTCGGAGCGTCGGATCCAACCGACACCGGATCCACTATGTATTGCAGTGCACACCTAACCGTACCCAAGGAAAAAGACATGTGTTTATTTATATATGATGTAAAGCACTGGATCTTTTAAAATTCTCGTACAAATGAATTGTAGTAATGAGCGCTCTATAGACAGAATGCGTATATAAACATGTGTTTCTCCAACAACGTAATAGTTAAAAAAGCAAAGTTAATTTTTTCGCGTTAATTTCGACGTTTTACATTCGGCCCTTCGATTTCGGTGTTCACTGAAATGTGCTGGTATCATCGCAAAGTGTTCTACTGGCTTTCTTTTTGCTGATCATCAAAGGCTAACTCAGCACTCGACAATTCTCAGCAAGTCCGCAATGAAAGCGTTAACTTAAATGAAGAAAAAAGCGCAGTTCACATAGATAGGAAGCGGACAAAGTCGATGTCTTTCGCAGAAGTTCATGTACAAGCTTGTGATGAGCACTCGCTGTTTTGCTCTCATCGGCTTGAGTACATTAATTTTTTGCGAATCGCAATTGCTTTCTGGATTGCCGATGATGATGTTTTCAATTCAAGAGCTATGATGAGGCCAGTGAACGAATGACGCAGGCAATCTCAAAGCACCACATCTCGAAATGTTTGCAGATCTAACTCGAAAAGAAGGATAGAAATCACGTTCGTATGGAAACCAGGAAAAAAACTCTTGAGCGTGACATCCGATGAGAACCTCCTCATTAACTTATCTTTTCTTCACTTCAAATATTTTTTTTCTGCGTTGAGAAACTTGTTGTGTTACAGCTTTCGTGCGTCGATTCTAACAGATGTTCGTCAATAGGTCAATGTACTTTTCGTGTTCGACGACCAACATCAGATTGCGCAGCTATGCACTTCACCTGCAAAACGTCGCAACCTTAGAATACTCGGATTTAACTCCCACGATCGACTTTCTACTAACCTCGGCATTAATCAAGTAATTCATCGTATTCTTGTTGAGCAAACGCGAGGTGTTATTTTCATTCTTTATTCACGAAATTCTGGAAAATTCTTTTACAATTCCCGAATCCTCGCACAGGAATCAATAACACAAGCGCGCAAAACTCTCGAGGTGTTCTGGATTAATTCCAGAAATCCGAAAATAAACCGCAGGGAAGAATTCCTCATTATCACGTGTGATATAGGGCAGTATATAAACCTGTTATTCTGATGGGAGGGGCACATTACGCTTCCATGTGAATTCTATGCGGTCGGTCTTCACACGACATATTCAGTGGAAGACTCATAGAAAGCGGTGCGTGTGCAAAGCTGTGTTCAATGTGATTGAAATCTTGGTTTAGCGTCTTCTTCGTTTGGTTATGGAGATGTGGGGCTGAATAAATTGCTGTCAACTTGACCTTTCCAGGTTCTGAGGAAGGCGAAATCCGCCGAAACGTCAGCTTATTCGTGAATAAAGAACAATAACACCTCGCGTTTGCTCAACAAGAATACGAAGAATTGCTCGAATTTAATTGCCATATCCAGTTCCCACAATGAATACCATGCTGAGTTATCCACAGGAGTTAACGCCGTAGGGGATATCTACAGTAATACTTGCAGTGCCTTGTACAATAGTGATGTAAGAAGGATATCGAGTAAAAGGTTCGGCGTTGAAATACCTCTATGGATGCGTCATGCGCTCAGCTCAATCAGCTATCGTCAGAGATGATTGAATGCTTATCTGACCCATAAAATGATTTCCGCTGGCCTAATAATGTATTTACGCAGCATTGCTATCTTCCCAGACAAGTCCAGTAGCAAAGAGTTGACCCCAGAGGAATGGAACACTTGCTAACCTCAAGGCACTGAATGGAATCAGCGACCGATCTAGTGTGCATTTTAAGCTTGTTATAACCCTTTGTGCTAGAGGCTCCCCATATGGATGCAAGTATGAAAAGTAGCTTCTTTTCGAATCGTCTAGTGAGCACTTGCAAAAGTTATAAGACTAGGATTTTAGTTATATAGCAGTTTTGTGAAGTGGTTAATTGATACATCAAGGCTTTTATGATTTGCAAGTAACTGAGATACTCATAGAGATCGAACCTGCAACAGAAGCCCGTCAATATGGACCGTCACGTTTCCCTGGAATGACAAGCGATTGAATCATTATGTTAAATGTCTTTGAACTTTCTAAATCTACGCATATGTGTAAAGAGAACGATGTCCTAAGTAGCACGCTTCTTGGTGTCGCGAAAAATAAACTGTTGGTTGGAATATCCCACTTCAACATTACTTTTGACATCGATACTTCCGCGGTTTTTCCAGACAAGAATAGTAGCAATTGGCCGACCTTGGAGGGTTGGGAAGCCTTGGTGATCTCTGGGCGCGGGATCGAACCCTTTTGCATTGGAGAACACTTGTAATCACTGCGCTGCCGGCTCCCCCATACATCGACAGATGACATAAAATCGTTGGATAGGTCAAAAATCCATTCACTCATTTTTGCTGCGTTTGATAAAGTCGGATGAGTAACGCATCTCTCAGAGATTTACCAGCGCCTCATTCTTTATTTCTTATATTGAATGGGACGTGTATCACAGTGGATAGAGGTTCCCTGCAATGCACACAGCTTCGTTGGCTTAAGCTCCTGCCAGTGCTATTGACACCGCTTTGAGAACGGCAAATTTGAGACTTGTCCGTTAAGATAAAAACACCGTTTTATACATAAAGCATGCCCCACAAGTCATTCAATAAACCAAATACGCGCTTGATCACTCCTACTATGCTCCGAATATAGTCGAATACAGGACTCATTAACTGATCAACGTCAACCGCTTTACACTTTATAAATAGTAGTGACAAAGAGCATAGTTCAAGTGTAGCATAGCTTCTGCACAAGTAGAAGCAACTAGAAATCTAACTGCTACAATACTGATGGTGAACGCGTTACTCCCCGGAAAGGGTAATAGCGCGTTCGTTCCGCACCGTAGACACCTGCGGTTCGGAGTTTTGCAAATATCTCAGCATTAATGTGGTTATTTCACACATTAATCCTTCTTTTACCTTCTGGCTTACAACTGTATAAGACTCGATTTGCTTATTGCCAGCTACTTCATATCATCTTTCGCTCCAAGCCTTCAAAAACGTCATATACAGAATGCCTAATATTAGAAAACGTCTGTCGAATACATGATAAATACCCATAATTGCCCGATTTCTGCCACTATTCCATTTCTAAAGTGATGTGTAGGTATTAGGGAAGAACCATACAGTGAGAGATAGCGAGTGCATTGAAAACCTTTTCGTTCATTTCGAGACTAAAATTTCTAAGTTGACTTTTCCTTTCCTGCTTTCTATAATGGCAGAGTATTGTGCGAAATACAACCACAATGGTGAATGGTGCTGAGATATTTGCAAAACTCCGGGCCGCATGTGTCTGCGGTGTGGAACGAACGCGGTATCAGTCTTTCCGAGAGCTAACCCGTTCACCACCACGCCATGCGGGTCCTTAACTTCGTCTGTCTCTCAGTTAGCTTTCTATCGACTAGAATTCTGTTTCAATCATAAATTCCAAAGAATAGAAAGCCTTGTGCATCATCATTTATTGCAGAAATCGAAAGACCCAGTTATCAGGATTACAACGCGGTTCCAGGGAATGTCTGCTAACACGGAACCCGCTATGAATTAAGTTCAACACATTCGGTGCGAAACAAAGGCAAACATCTTTCAATTACTAGGATGCTGAGATATAAGCAGCACTAGGAGCCTTAGTTGGGCTTCGAACCCACGATTACCTTGCCGTCAGCTTGCTCACGTACCATGTTTCAGTTCGCGCTGAACTTTCTTATTTGATTTTTACTTGAGATTACGAAACATAATTCTCGCCTTTTTCTTCGTCGAGGCTCACATTTCGGAGTGAAATCAACTGAATAAAGCTGGATTTTGCTTGACAGCAACCGATTGTTTTCCCGGAAACATCATCGATATTGGTAGTTACTGCGCTTGCGGTGAAATTTTTAAGAGTATTAATCCAGGTTTTTGTTTCCATGAAATTTAAATCCAAGAATTTCAGACGTGAGGAACATTTTATAAAGATCATATGTTGAGATCAGAATGGCTTCCATTAGTCTTTGACTTTCTTCACTCCTTAAGTATTCCAATGATCACGATTTTGTTGTCAATTTTCAAGAAACATCATTGAACGTTGTGCATTAAAGTTTACACGAAGCTTTAGGATTTGTAGCTACAAATGGCCCTATGAGCCATCTGTGCACGCCACGAGCTTGAAAATGCTTCTGTGGCTCGCGTTTTGATGAACTTTGGAGTCACCAATATTTCGTTATGATAAAATTTGAACCTTTCAAGTAAAATGGTGCTTCAATTGGCCTGAAGTCGCTGTAAATTAAGTGACAGAAAAAGAATCACACGGGAAGTAGGTGGGCAAGAAATAAGTGGTACAGTGCGACAGGATGAACAGCAAATATTCGTTAAAAAACACACTTGTGAATTTCATAGTGAAAAATCGACCACTGCTTTCGTACCAGCCTAGAGATTTGACAGAAAAGGATGCAGATCTCCGTTTATCGCTTATCATTTCCTTGTCGTTTCCTTGTCGCTCATTGTATGACATCAACAGAGATTCGAGATTTTCTTAAGAATGACAAAAGACAGAAAATGGTTGAAAACTATCCCGTCAAAGTTTTTATTTCATTTTTTATTAGTTCCTTGATATTCGCTAAGACACACAAGGAAAGAAGTTGCAGGTACTGTATGACGAAACACTGGACATTCACCGGATTCGAACGACGTACTCGCTGGCTGGCGCTGTTGTTCGTGTTGGGGACGGCGATCATCATCAAGAACATCACGGCGGTACTTCTTGCTTGGTTTATTGAACAAAGGGCTCGGAAAGCTTCAAATCCTTAAACGTTTGCTCAAACATGGTGGCAGCTCTGACGAAACATGGAAGATAAAAGATCCTTAATTTGTGTTAAAGCTCTTGACATTCGAATCACCTTGAAAAAACTACTATCGAACGCTGTGATATCCTTTCATGTATCCATGGTTTTAAAAATTTTCGTGGGTGTTAGCAAAAAAGTTTACACTTGTATTTATAAATATTCGTAAAGTCTGTCGTAGTACGAAGAAAATCTCGGGAATGGGAAGCGAACAAGCCGAAGTGTAGTTCAGTTCTTTAGTTTACCTCCCGTACCCGCACCAATCTACTGTATTTTTTCGTCCTTAAATATGTCGAAACGACGTTGAGTGTAGACTTTCAGATTACTGAAACCATTTCCGCACTGTCAACATATCCCTTTACGTCCGGTCTTTTTTCATTCATATCTCCATGGAACACAGTAATAAAGTTCATTAATGACGAACAAGCCGTCACCGTCTGATGTAGGACATCGATTAACGATTTCCTTTACCCCATAAGACTACGTTATCGGCTAGGAGAACGGTAGTGATAATCACACAGCAGCTACTAGACTCAACTCTACGTCATTCAAGCAAACGTTTATTTGAATGCCCGAAAACTTCGGTCGCGCAGTCCAGCAGGTTGAACAGGTTGCCCTATAAGCCATTGTGAAGGTTTTTCTTGGGTGCGTATCTGAATTGTTTACCCTACAAGTTTCAGTTATAGGAATGCTGTTAGTATCGTCTGAATTAGAATGAAATATATTTGACAGTATGCTGTGTCAGGTTTCGAAGGCTCTACATTCAGAAGGTGTCGATGATCGAACGCAATGAATGTAGTGGTTATCGTCGATTCAAGGTGGATGTCTTGGGAAGCGATTCCTTCCATCTGGGCATCTTCAACACGGCTGCAATCTTCGTGCCTTTTTTTACATTGATCTTCTTGAACGGTGGAATTGTGCTCATGCTGAGGAAACAAAACGTGCAGGTTTGTTTTCGTCCAGACTTAGCCCATCATTTAGATTTTTTTTGTATGTTGAAGAGTGAAAAACAGCTTTCGAGAGAGTGTTTACAGCTACCGATTACCAAGAAATCATTTTCTCTTCAGCAACTTCGCTCACTCATCACTGAATTGACCATGGGACATGATGTGATGAAAATTCGACGACGAAACCTTCGTTCGGCCACTAACACCCTCATAGTGATCATATCAGCGTATCTCATTTCTAATCTTCTCAACGTCTATCTCACACTCACTGAATACATCAACGCAGGTCACTTATTTTCTTGTTTTTCACTCATCATCATTACGCACTAGATAGTACGGAGCGGGGCAGTAGACGGTAGTCACAGAGCTACATGATTGAAGATATAATTTCGCAATGCTTTCTTCCTTTTATTTGTTCAAAGATTGTAGAAGGACAGTAGGAGATTTTTTGTCTAGAAAGTGCTAGAATGTTTTCATTGTTTAAATTACCATTGAAATCCAGCTGAATGCACGCGGTTACAAAGAGATTTACTTGACATGGGTTGCCAGTATGCACGAATAATTGTTTCTTCATTTGCACAATGAGAATTTTATGAAGGGAATTGTCGCTAATGCCAGCCAACCTCATCCAACGAAAGCTTTGAAAATAGAAAAATAAAACATCTTTCCTTGGCATGAGAAAAGTCTTTTATTAGACGTGACTTGTCAGACAACCTCTGAGCATAACTACGAAGTGATACTCCATCCACCTCATTCTCTAGACAGCGCTCCCTCTTCCGTTGCCATTTTATAAAGGACAAAGGATAAAGGTCTCGGCACTGATCAATCCCTAAGGGATGTGCCGTGCATTCGATTTCACTAAGCATCGTTTGGAGGTGATTGAGAGCATATCTGACCTTTACAATGACTCGCCGTGGCTTACCGATATATCGAGCCATTGCTGCTATCCTCCTAAATTAGTCTGGTACCAATTTGTCGACCTAAAAAAGATGGAGTGCTTGGTGAGCCACAGGCATAGGAATCGATCTCATATGTGTGTCGCAGGGCGCCTCCGACAACTGCGCCACACGCGTCTTTTGGTATTTCATAAGGTTAATAATATTTGGGATATGTTAACTTTACAGAACTTGCAAGCACACATGACAATTATCGGAAAAAATTTGATTCCTATTTTATGCTGACGGGTGAGCTGTGGCAAAGATCGATAGAAATAGCTGAGAGACAGGCGAAAAGAAGGACCCGCATGGTGTGGTGGTGAACGCGTCACTCCCCGGGAAGGACAATAGCGCGTTCGTTCCCCATCATAGACACCTGCGGTCCAGAGTTTTGCAAATATCTCAGCAACGTTGTGGTCGTATTTCGCTTAGTACCCTGCCGCGAAATTATAGTAGGCAGAAAATAAAAAGGTATAACTTTATGCCTATTCTTTTACTACCACAATCGACGCGTTTCAAGACACAGTGCAAACCTCGGTCCGAGACTGTCTGACAAGTTTGCTTGCCTAGAAGGTCTTCCTTTGCTATCCAAAGAAAAGTTATCTTCTTTTCGCATTTGTGAAGCTCTTGTTTGATGAAGTTGGCCGGTATCCAGTAACAATTCTCTTCATGAAATTTTCCTTGTGCAAACCTAGAAGCAAAGAGCCAAACCAACCAAATGAAAAGCACTGATAGTTTTTGTCAAGTAAATTTTTTTTTACAGCAGCGAGTATTCAAATGGTTGTCAATGGCCACTTTAACAACGAAACCATTCTAGCACATTTCAAAGGGAAGACCGCCCACTACTCCTCTATAATGTTCCAGCAAGTAGAGAGCAAGAAGTGTTGGGATTCGCACAACAAGATATGTGGTGTCGGAATACATGAAAAGGGAAGTAAAGAAGGAAATGAATTGTCGAGAAAGACCACGATATTTGGAATTTTCCATTAATTCATGGAATCAAAAATATTATTCAGTGCTAACTGCAATCAAAACATTTCCAGTCATTTTTCAGACTTCCTACACGTACAGCATCCGGATTTCTTTCTACTGGCCGCCGATTTTGCATCGGTGCTCACTGTCTTCGGGAATGCGATACGTTGTCCGGCGCATTTCCTCTCCAGCTCGGAGATTCGGCAACAGTTTTTGCTGCTGTTTTGCGAGGATGGTCAGGAAAAGGTCATTCACTCATTTTCTCTTGGTCTAACAACTCCGCACTTTCGAGTATTCCGTTAAAAGATCGTTAAACTGAGGAAGCTAGGATTTTCAAAGGTTATTAAATTAAGGAAGTTAGGATTAAGCTCCGATTGTAAGTATTTATTTTGTATAGGAGCGGATCTCCTCTATGGTTTTTCTAATTTTGGACAATTTTGCTTTAGAATGATGACTAAAATGAGAAATTACGATTTAGTCCAAACTTGGTTGAAATTGTATCTTTTAGGCTTCAATGCTTATGCCCTTTTTCGTAGAAACCTCCCCACCCCCAATTTCTGATCATTCGCTTACCCAGAACTATTTCTTTTTCTTTGAGCACAACTACTCACTGGTTTTTTCGGAACTTTTGTGAGAAAATTTAAACTTATAAGTGATGTCTTACGCGGTTTTCCGACTATTTGACTTTGTACTGAAGTGTTTGTGTTCTTTCATATACTTCTTTGTGTGCAGAAATTCGAGGAGGATCCAAGACGACAGAGCGAACGGCTAGAAAATCCATGGATCTCACTGCTTCTGACGGTTCACGAGAAAAACGAATCGAGTTCACCTCTGCTCTCCGACAAGCATATGAAACGCCATAGCGCGATCGCCATATGCTAGTGCCGTACAGCAGCCTAAATGTACCAGTGCCGTAGAGACACTTCAAGTCTCGAGATAAAATCTGAAATGTCTTGTTAAAATCTGATCCTTTACGAGTTTAATACTGCAAAGGAACACCTTTGCTAGGTCATTGCCTGAGTTAAATAGTTGTCGATTATGTCTTCTACTTCCGCTCTTTTCATAAAAGCGATTTTTGAAAGATAAATATGTAAGCGCTGGCCAACAAGAGTAGTTTCAAAGCGTACTTTATAGTTATATGGTCATATTAATAAACCTTGACTAATTAGAGACGATCCTGTGTCTAACGAACTTTGTCTGGGCAAATTCTTTGAACCTTCCAACCTACCATCACTAATGGTTGAAAGTTTTATGGGCAATCTAATATCTCATATGCCTTAATTTACTTTGAATTTCCACAGTTCATGTTGACAGTTTCATGACATCCTATTGCAAAATTATTCCTGATTATCGGGTTTTTCTGAAAGTAGAAGAGCGGAGCCGGCAATATAACTAAATACGTATCCGGTCTGTAGAGAGTTCAGCTTAGATGAAAGCTGCCCTACAGCAATCATATTCGTTGCGGGTTGAGAACTAAAATACTGCCTGTTCGTACATTCCGTCTATAGTTGATTCTACGACATTTCATTGATTTGTTCGTGACTTTTGTATTCCATTTGTACTTCTGAATATTACAATGTGATAAAGTGTAATAACTAATGGAAGCCTTCTTGTTATCAATCCAAACCATCACATAACGGAAAAACTACTGAGACTATACGTCCCGTTAGGCTGCTACGTCAAGTTATCTACCTTCACGATAATCGCATACATAACCTGTGGCTTCGTTAACCATGCAGTAATTCGAACTGCTAAACTCTATTCGTCCACCGGAGTCACACCCAACGTACGAAGAACATCTCAGATTTCATGTGACGCCCTTCATCTACTGCTTCTTGCGATTAGGCAACAACAGGAATTTCGTTTGAGACACTACATTCATGCTAGTTAATACCTACATGGCTTTCTCGATGAAAAGGTCAAATTCATTCTTTCTGGTGACACCTTACCAAGTGGTTAAGTTCCCCTGTGCGTCGAACTTCGACACAAAAGCACAGCTAAAAGAAAAGTCGCCTAATTCTGAAACAGCTCTTTTACACAGGGCGATTCTTGATTTATGCTGCCTACCTATTTACCCGTTTTCATCAAGATAATCAGTAGAAAGCAATAAAAGCTCTCTAAGAAGCTCTCGGCGTTGATCAATCCCTGACGGATACGCCACGCATTCGGCTTCATTAAGCATCGTTTGGAGGCGATTGAATGCATAACTGGCCTTTACAATGGCCTTTACAATGACTCGCCGTGGCCTATCAATGTATCGAGCCAGTGCTGCTATCCTCCCAGACAAGTCTGGTACCAATTTGCCGTTTCCAAATGGACGAAAGGGTTGATTGGCCATGTGCGTGGGGATCGATTCCACGTGTGTGTTGCAGGGCGCCTCCGACTACTGCTCCACACGCGCCCTTTAAGCGTATATATATATATATATATATATATATATATGTGTGTNATACGTGGTGATATCATTACCATTTAGTCTCTCTGATTAAAAGGAAGAAAATTCTGGAGGGTTATAAAAATGCACACATGTATATATATATATATATATATATATATATATATATACATGTGTGCATTTTTATAACCCTCCAGAATTTTCTTCCTTTTAATCAGAGAGACTAAATGGTAATGATATCACCACGTATTATTTGGAAGTAGATGTGTTATTTATAAAAACACATGAGGAAAAACACTCATTGTTTTATCTTATTTTTCTCTGTTAGAAATCACATATAAGGTCACTTATAAAAAATTTTTATGAGTAAGAGTGCAGGAAGGAAGAAAAAAAAGTACCCTACATGTTAAGAAACTGAGAACAGAATGAATAGATGCTTCGGTTTGAATTCAGTTCTTAACACGACAATAAAGTTTAGACTTTTATCGACATTTCTGTGATTGTCACTACTGCTTCCTACTGTCTGGGAGATAGCAGCATTGGCTCGATACATCGGTAGCGCACCACGAGTCGTTATGAAGACCAGATATGCGTTCAGTCACCTCCAAACGATGCTTAATGAAGTCGAATGCATGGCGCATCCCTCACGGATTGATCAACGCCAGGATCTTTATCCTTCTTACATAAACGTTTATACACGTAAATACACGTTATACATACATTACGAATTCATAGAAACACACTATGTAGATGAAATTTTGTCACTGGGTGCTCGTTGCTCGAGGGAACAAAAAACGCTGTATGATGCAGCTCCTTATGGCTAGTAGGTGGCCAAATACGAACAAGAAACGACTTTTTCCTGGTGTTCAAACAAATGTGCCACTTCACTGGTGAGAAACACTGGGAACGTTCTGGCTCTTTCGATCGATTAGCGCCTGTTCGACAAACGACTGGACGCGATATGGGGGAATGGTGGCAGGTGCCAGCAGGATGAGAGAGAGGGACGCATTTTCGAAGAAATCTTAGGTGACCCTCGAGATGACGAGTTATGCTGGACAGCGTAGATTTATCATCACAGTGTGTCGTTCGTATCTGCAATGCTTGCTCAGCATTCGGGAATATTTCGAAGAGCCGACGTCAGTGATTCCTCACATTAATTAACAGTGAAAAAATAACTTGACATAGATCATTAACAGAACAAAACAGGCGTGCGTTTAAAAATTCGACCTAGCATGGTTCTAATATAGTTTCCTCTACTTCTACTTTGCAACTAAGCTTCTACTTTGCCAAGACTTCCAAGGACAACTTTCGATTAACCTCGGCATTGATTGATAATTCGTTGTTTTTCTTCAACAAGCAGACACGAGCTTGGCACTGTAGGACTTATTAGCACACAATAGCTGACGGCGGTTTCGCCTTCTTCAGAGCCGTTTGTTCGTTGCAAGCATTTCAACTAGCTGGTGGAGAGCAGTCGCACAGAGTAATACATAGGCGATGACTCATTGTTGTTTACATTACATTGCACATTGCCTAGACTTTTTTGTTCAGAAATGTTACTTGTAGTATGGTAAAGATCGGAAAGAGCTACAACATTCGATGATTTTGTTTGAGGTCAAAATATGATTGCTCTTCTGAAGATCTGCTTTGCCTTGTTCATTAACGATGTCATGTTACTTTGACAGATGCGGAGTGAAACAAGAGAACTGGTGACATAAAACCTTAGCGTAATGGAGGCTTGGTGAGAAACTGCTCACCGCCCTGCCCTCGCACTTTAACATGGAAAAGAAAAGTAATGGAAAAAGGTGAGAACACCACAAAAGTGCATTCTCCGCTGCAGCTGTGGCTTCTTTTAGCTGAGAGGAATTTGATTTGCTGTTCTATTATAAGATCATCTTTAAGGAATAAAGGCATTTTTTCTTCAATCTGGCAGGCTCTAGCAAGATTCAAACTCGATAAGGAATCTGTAAAGGAAGCACTGATCATGGTGGTTGATGGAAAAGGACAACGTGCTCAGCAACTGCCGATCGAGTTCGGTTTGTACCGAAAGGTAGCACATCGAACCATCGAACGTGCGGAAGAAGCGAACCTCATTATAGAACCGCGCTATACAGGTGCTTATCCCTACCGGCATAGCTATGGTGGATCAACTCTATTCTATTTTATCTGCCACGACCGACTTTCTATTAACCTCGGCATTGATCAAGTGATTTTCTTCGTATTTTTGTTGAGCAAACGCGAGGTGTTACTATTCTTTGTTCACGATTAAGCTGACGTTTCGGCGGATTTCGCCTTCTTCAGAGCCGCTTTCTATGAGGTTTCCACTAAGTATGTCACGTAGAGACCAACCGCACAGAAATCACGTGGAAGTATAATCTTAGTAGTTCTTATAGCTCTTATAAGTGGATTATACTTCCACGTGATTTCTGTGCGGTTGGTCTCTACGTGACATACTTAGTGGAAACCTCATAGAAAGCGGCTCTGAAGAAGGCGAAATTCGCCGAAATGTCAGCTTAATCGTGAACAAAGTATAGTAACACCTCGCGTTTGCTCAACAAAAATACGAAGAAAATCTATTCTATCTATTCCATCTATATCCTATGAACCTATGTACCTATGAACTGACTTATTTATCTTATGAAGAGACTACTAACCAATAAACTGAACTTGAGCCTATAAAACTTGTGAGCCTAGCGTTTACACTTAAAACAGTTGTGTGATGGGTCTCTGTACAGCAGTTGTTAGAAGTGCACTAAAATGCACACACACGTTGTCGGTGGTTCGATGTTTCAGTTTGGGTTCACCACGCCTTTCATCTCTTCGAGGTCAGGAAGTTGGTACCAGATCTGTCTGGAAGGATAGTAGCACTAATTCGATACATCGGTAGGTCACCGCGAGTGATTGTGTAGACCAGGTATTCATTAAATCATTTCTAAAGGTGCATGATGAAGTGGAATGTGTAAGACGTTCCTCAGGAATTGATCAACGCCGCGAGCATTTTTTTTAACAGTGGTGTGTGACAGCCTCTAGTTCATACCGACTCGCACTATTTTTTCTTTGAATTCGCGGTCAATGATGAGCTGCAAAGATGACTCTCATTAGTCCTGAGCGAGACACACTGTGTTTTTCACTGATGAGTGGGAAATTCATTGAAGCATTTATGGCCCATTAAATCTGCATGGCCAATCGCAACACAAATCCTCTTGATCCCATACACGCGAAATCAATAGAAACTGCAGTCCCAGATTCATATTGGCTTTCTTAGATTTTAACGACTAAAATAATGAAGCTGCTGCCTTATGCTGGAGACTAATTGACTGGTAATTTTTCGATAAGTAGAATAACTGAGGAGTTATAAAGCACTTACCTTATTGAAGAAGCTTTGCCTTACATAGCTAATAGTAAGTATGGTTCTTTGAAACTGTCATTTTGTGGGCAGATGCGAAGTTAACACTACAATATTTACTCGCAGTACCTGACGATTCGCAGG